ACGGCCTTTCTTATGGCTTGTTGAGTAGACGGAGCTGCCAGCGATCCGGCCATATTTGGGCGTATTGGATCTGACCTTTTACACCCATTCGAACCTTAAGCGCAGGCTGTCAAAAGACTTCAAGCTTTTCTGGCTCAATTTGTTGAAGTGTTAGTTACAAAAATCTCTTTCCTGACTTTTGAACCTTGGTACGTTGGAGAAGATGTTATCTCTAGCTTTTAAAAAAAATCACCTGCATATACTTTGGAAAACAAGTATGTTGTATTCTTTAGCACAAAAGAACAATTGAATTGATAATTTTAAATATTTATTCAGAGATCTCGGCATGCAGCGCGATGTCGACCAGAATAAATATTTAAAATGCCCACTGTCTCGCAGAGACATTTTAGAATGGAATAAATTTGAAATTTTGAGATTTTAAATATTCATTTGGGGATCTGAGCATGTAGCACAATATCGACCCAAATGAATATTTAAAAAGCCCCCTGTCTCATAGGGGCATTTTGGATAGGCTTTGTATCTTTAAAATTTTAAATATTTATTCGGGGATCTTGGCATGCAGCGCGATGTCGACCCGAATAAATATTTAAAATGCCCCCAGTTCGATGGGAGATTTTTGAAAAGCATTCTTGTTATATAAGAGAATTTCAAAATATATAGTGCGTATGTGATGACAAACAAGTATAAAATACATAACACATTAAATAAAATATTTTCTTGTGCAGTTTTATGTGTAGTATTTCTTCAGATATCGACTGTTAATTGGTGGCATAGGTCTCTGACCTTCCAAATTGATCAATTGATAGGCTCCTCCCTGAAATGCCTTCTTGACGATAAAAGGTTCTTCTCAATTGTATACGAATTTGCCACTGATTTTTCGGTATGGGATGATTGGCCTTCTCAGCATCAGGACCAATTCCCCTTCTTGAAATGATCGAGAACGCACCATTTAATCAAAAGATTTTGTCATCCTCGCTCGATAAATTTTTAGGTTTTGTTGAGCTTGTAAACTGACTTTATCTAGTGCATCAAGCTCTTCCATTCTTAACCGAGTATTTTGTTCTTGAGTCTGCTCGTTCTGGATAGCGACTCGAAAGGATGGAAGTTCAACTTCTAATGGCAACACTGCTTCAACTCCAAATATAAAATGCATGTGCTGACAACAATGCATTCTGCCCATGCAAAGATCTTCCTCAGTTTGAGAGGATATATTTGAAAAGTGTTAGGATTTCTTAAAGGATTCTTCAAGGTGTCGACCATCGAGAACAATGTTGTAGGGGCCATCTTTGGGACCTACTTTTGATGAATTTTTTTTATGGTGGATCTCTTGCGGTACACACTAGATGTCACACCATTCTTTGAATATATATATTTTTTCTAGAGATGTGAGTCTTTATATTTGTTTTCCCTTATGTCAGGACCTCTCGACAGTGGATTCTTGAATATGCATCCAAGTGTCACACCCTGATGCTCACCGTACATATCTTGATTCTTTATTTGTTTTACCATCATAATAGATGATTGCTTTTATCTCTATCGGGACCTTTCAGTGATGGATCTTTGGACATAAGAACCAAATGTCACATCCTGATGTTCACCGCACAGAGCTTTATTCTTTCTTTGCTCTACCATCATAAAAGATAGTAGCTTTTAGCTTTAATGGGACCTTTCAGTGGTGGATCTTTGGACATAAAGACCAAATGTCACATCCTGATGTTCACCGTATAGAACATAGTATTTTAGCTGCTACTATAGCATTTAAATGACTAGCCAAAGATGGAAAGAGAAACAAATCCCCAGCGGAGTCGCCAGAAATCTGTGGGCTCCGAAAATTCGGCTCCGGCCTCCGCTAGCTTTTCTTTTTTTTGGAGAGGGCTTGTACTACTACCAGAGCTGTTGTTCCTTCTCCAGTTAGAGTTCCAGACGTGGCACCTTCGCCACCTCACCCGATCTTCCCGCCGGCGAGCCAGCTCTCAGCTTGTTACCTCTTCCAGGAGGTCTGTAGATGCTCGCCCCTCTCCTAGGGATCTTGGGGAGGATGCACAGGAGCCCAGGAGGTCAGACTTCACGGGGTACAGTACACCAGGACCCTCCTACGACTTTTCTTTTTCGGTGGACCCCTACGGGTCGTTCTGCCCCGGTGAGTCTTCTGGTACCGATGCCACTTTGCTTTCGGAGTTCTTTGGAGGGCCTCCACACACACTACCGTCGTTAGGCTTGGTGCCCACGGAGTTCTCCTTCTTCCCTGAGGGCCACCCGACCGACTTTGCGAGCTCTTCCCCTGTCTCTGCCGGTTACTCGACCGATCTTGTAGGACCTTCTTCTACACCAGCC